CCCTCAGGAGCAAACGGCTCCAGCGTGGGTCCATCCCTCCCATGGGGTGCAGTCCCTCGGGAGCAGACGGCTCCAGCATGGGTCCATCCCTCCCACGGGGTGCAGTCCCTCAGGAGCAAATGGCTCCAGCGCGGTCCCCATGGGGTCACCAGACCAGGCAGCAAACCTGCTCCAGCCTGGGCTCCTCTCCCCATGGGGCCACAAGCTGCCAGAAGCTTATGGCAGGGTCTCCCAGAAACCACTCTTGCCCCGTGGACCCCCACACCGCCCCCCCCCCCCCCAAAGCCACACCCCACAAACCCGATACACCCCCCTACAATAACACTTCCAGCATTGGACCATATCTGCAAACTGATGATTTCCCTCTACCCCCCAATCCGGGCACATCTGACTTTTCTTTACATGTTCCCCGTAGGTGACTGGGGCCACGTTTGCTATGGCAATCTAACATCTTAAGTATAGTTTAAATACCTATACACTTCTTTTCACTGCCTCCTTCCTTTCACTGACTGTACTTTGTTGTTCATTTATTACTGCAAGTTAAGCCTTCTCCTATACATCTTACGTTCACCTATTTAATAAAGTTTTGATTATGTTATTGTACCCAATAGCTTCCCCACACGCACACACGTGTTTTGGAAAACTGCATTTTGGAGACCTTCCTCAAACGTCTTTAATAACAAATGGACAGTAGATGGGCAGTCTTCTGCTACCAAAGTTCAGAATTTGGGATAACTCCCACGGCAGCTGCAGCGCCATTTGCAGAATGCCATCCCGCAAGACAAGAGATCCGTCTTTATGCCACGCAGGTGTGCTGGGGAGTCCCAGAGGTAAGTGGATTACAGCAGATGCCATAATCCCTTATCCTGCATTAATGCAGCGCTTTATCACGCTAGAAAGACCAGGGAGAACTCTGTTTATGCATTGCTTATCACTAGAGCACTGCCTCAAAATATATCAATTTTCGTGTCAGAAAAACAAATCATTGAACCGTGGAAGAGAATTCTGCGTCGGGGAACAACACAAATCCTCTTTGGTAGTCCACCTTCGGTCCCCACGCAATGACAGTTGAGTCTCACCAACTGTAAGAGCCACAAACAAAACAGTTCTTTCTCAAGGAGGCGATCTGCACAGGAACTACCCCATCTAAAGGTGTGACAGCAGTTGTCCAAAAAAGTAAACCAAGCTCAGAAATGCTCTCCAAACGTTACACCTGACCTCCAGTTGCCTCTACATTTCAGGGAGGGGGGGGGTTCTGGTGGAACTGCTTATATTTATCTCTGGTTTTCCAAAAGTACTGGTGTGTTTAGTTCCCTGGGGCCTGATCTCAACAGTTACCAGATCCTGATCTCAACAGTTACCAGATCCTGAGCCCAGCAGCTAAGCTTGCCATGGCCCTCACCGCTTGGTGCTGAAAGAAGGGAATCGTGCATGTCTGCAAAACGGAAGACAAACCGCAAGCTTGCGTGGGGGACCGTATCTCCCCTACCTCATTTTTAGGGAGACTTTTTGTCTTTGTTATTCAAATGGTCAGCAACTGTCTTTGTTTCGTGGAAAGAGAAGAGTTTCTCAAACTAAGGAAGTTAAATCTTGGAGGTGATTCTTGCCAACTACAAAAAAAGCTTTCTATTGATCCAATTGCTGTCAATGAAGGATTATTTCTTCAATTATTTCAATAGAACATCTAGAACTTACTAAAACCATACAAAACCCATGAACACTGCATGGAACTTAAGACTAAAACCTCCTCTAGGATCCTAGTGCATCTATGAGGCACCCAGCCCTACAGATGGAAAATGTGGTACCATGGGTCTTCAGAAAGCTTTCTATTGATCCTATTGCTGTCAATGAAGGATTATTTCTTCAATTATTTCAATAGAACATCTAGAACTTACTAAAACCATACAAAACCCATGAACACTGCATGGAACTTAAGACTAAAACCTCCTCTAGGATCCTAGTGCATCTATGAGGCACCCAGCCCTACAGATGGAAAATGTGGTACCATGGGTCTTCAGAAAGGCTCACAGCTCCCCCCTGCTCCCCTTGCCCACGACAGGCGACGCCAAGTGCTCGCAGCCTTTAAAGGGTTCTGTTGGATTTTGCTTTTCAGCAGGACCTTTACCTAGGCGAGCGTTAAGAACAGGGTATCCGCTCAATACAGTTTCCTTCCGCAGATAACAAAACCCCTAACGCCCCATATTATTTCAGTACAATCTCTTCTGTTTACTTCCGTTATGAATATTAGCTCACTGCAACTATAAATACTCAGTAACGCAAATATGCCGAGAACCGTTGCATCTTCCAGGCTAGTTTCAGTGAGTTGCCTAACAACACTGTTTCTCCTTTAAACATCTTTATATTTTGGTACGCTGATAAAACCCCCTTTCATTTATTCAGTCATGTCGCATACATTCTGCTTTGTGCACTTCTGCATATTTGCAACTGCGCTAATCATCTCAGTCTATTCTCCTTTAGGCTTGAAGGAGATGTACTACATTAATCAGTTGATTGTTATTAACCCAGTTACATTGTATCTTTGCATAATGCTGCTCCATCTCTAAATCCATAGTCTAATCAGGTATTATGACATACATTTAATTATACTACTTGTGTACTTCATAATAATCCTCTTATTAAGTGATTGGGGTTTTATGGTTTAAGCCTTATGAAATTTCAGCAAACCAAAGGATGGGAAGGCTGGTTTATGGGTCGGGATCAGGTACTGACAGATAAGGCTGCTCCGTATTGCAAAAAAACCCCTCACGTAGTACATTCCCAGAGGACAGAAAAACACCACTTCCTCAGTCGCTTCTCTACCCGGGCCAGAACAGGCAAATGTCCACTTTGGTTCTGCTGGAAGCAAACATTTGGGGTCCAACCAACAACGCCCATGGTCAAAGACAAAGGCAAGAACCAGACATTAACCTCCTCCATCTACCCCTGAAACAAAAGGGACCGTGTGCCAGCAAGTTGGCACTGCTGGTGGGATGGCTGATGGCTTTGGAGACAGCAGCAAATCCCCAGGAGGGAAAAGCCACCAGCAAGAGCCCAGAGCAGAGCCGTGCAAACTAGCATGCTGTGAACTGGAAAGGGAAATGGCGCAGCAACAGATCATGCTTTGAAAGTAGAATAAATATATATTCATTTATCAACAGATGCACTTACTGCTGTCCAGATGGGACTCATCACCGCTATAGGACCAGAGGACGGGAGGACTCCGAGGATGCTGAAGGACCCAGGAGGTGCCATCATGAGGCTGCTCTCAGCAATCTCTCCAGGCTCACGGAGACCAGGGGAGAGACCCATGGCCAGAGAAAGGCAGATATTGCTCCATTCCCAAACAGGGCAAACCCCATCCCATCCTCTGGGAAGACTGTGGATCTTCAAAGCTCTGTGTGCCTGGAAACAGCATCTGTGAAAGGCAAGAAGGGGACTGGGATCAGCTTACCATGTACAAACTGCCCAGTGCTCATCAGCTGCTGGGATGAGGTGACTGGATGCATAGGCAAGGGAAAAGCAAGGACGTCATTCACTTCAATTTCATCAGCATTTTCAAAACAGCCCAGAGAAAAAGAGGTGAAGGAGGGAACTAACAGCTGCCTACAGAAGAGGGCCATGGAGGAAACTCATCCAAAGGGGCTCAGCGAAAGAGCAGGCAGTAGCAATGCTAAGGTGCGACGAGGCAAGCTCCACCGAGACAGAAGGGGAAAAAAAATTGCAGTGAGGTCTGGATAAGCACCGGACCAGATTTCCCCTTGCAACACCCTGTGAAATCCCCATGCTTGAAGATGTCTGTGGTTCAACAAGGCAAAACCCTGAGGACCTGGTGACTGGTCACCTTCCTGACTGCGAACGCAACCTGGAGGTTGGGTTGCTGTGGCTGGCACTGCCCCTACCCTTTTGGTGGCAAAGGAAGCAAATACAGGTTTATTTTGCTCAGGTAGTAGAAAACCAGGTTTGTCTCTTCCAAGGTAAATCACTTACTGAGAGATGTTGAGAGCTAGGCTGTATCCATAAACAGCAGCGCAAACCGAAATGTCAATAGCCTACAACAAATCCACAGCAAACTGGGAGGATAAGCCAAATTGTTCACCAGCAAGCAATGCCCTCCAGAAAAGTGGCATGCACTGGAAATTAATAAACACAAGAAGAAAAAGAACATAAACCGCAACTAAATCCTAAAGAAATGAAAAAACCATTCAGGCGCAGATCAAAGCATCATCATCCCACCACTGAAGCCTGGCCATAAACGACCCATAAACACAAATAGTCCAGCTGAACTCAGCTCAAAGACTTGAAGACATGTGGTGGCCTAAGTGCAGCCAAGATCAGCTTGCACGTGTCTTCTTCCTTCCTTCTACCTGAATTTTGATCTAATTATGTAAAGTTCGAAACACATGCACAACAAACGCCTCTACTGATTTGGATGCTTGTTCCTCAACACAAAGTTACGCATCTGAATGTGAGTTTCCAGGGTCACAGTCTTAAATATTACTGGAAGCAAATAAACCTCTTCCTGTGCATCTTTCTATGGTATTCAGACATCCTTGTGAAAAGCCCAAATTAAATTTGTAGTATGTTCATTTGTTTAGAAGAGCATCGCATAAAATATGCACAGCTGTTTGTGGGATTTTGGCATATACAGACAGTCATAATGTAGTGATATATTTGGGGATTTTATTCCTCCTACCACAGGGTAAAGTGAAAATATATTTAAACTGTCATCCCGATATTTTGGATTAAGTTGGGTTGTTTGTTTTTTTTTTTTACTGTAGACATCCCACAAAGATCATTTATAGAAGCAGGCTATTTCGTTAGCATGTGCTTTAAATATTTTATTTTTCATTTTATTACCTGCAGGTCTAATCAGACTTTTCATAGCGTAGAGTCTGATAACAAATAATTTAGCTACCAGACATCTTTAGTCCCACAAAATGATTTTCAGAAAGTGCACAGTAAGTGACACATTAAAAATGTAGTTTACAGAAAAATTATCTTTATATGCCGTTTCGTAAAGCATGCGGTTGCTGTGAACACACAAAAAACACGCTACACTTGGAAAAAGGTTTTGTAGCAGCTACATGAACTTTCTTGGAATCGTTAATGTATTTTAATAACCATTGCCACACTAACCATAGGCACACCATACAACGTGGATACTGTTTAATAATTAACATGTTTACAACAATTTTGCAAATAATGAGCTAATTACTACAATTATGTATTTTTCAACCGTCTCAAACTGCTCGGCTCCACTCAAGGCAGAGAGGGAAGACGTGCTCTCGGTGGCTGCACGCTCTGCACCTTGGGCGTGGGTTGGGTGGCGGGGCCCAAGGTGACACCCAGCCCCGGGGACCACCCTCTGGGAGCAGGTCCGTGCTGCCCTGCAATCCCGGCACCAAAGCCTCCGTTTCCCAGGCTGCTCTTTGTTTTTGTTGGCTATTGATTTTATGCCAGAATTTAGTAGAATTCGCTTTTAACCGATAGTCTATCGCTCATCCCAGGTTTAAATTATTAATGAGCATCACGCCTCAGTCGCCTGTTCGCGGCGCTCCAATGCCTCAGAAGTGACCAGTTTCCATACATAAATACCCAAACAGCTGAACGCAGGATGGGAAATATTTCACTGTGGTGGCTCACTGTGAACCTTCGGCTACACCTAGACCGCTGCAGGGTGCAGAAAACCTGGGCTGCCATAAATAAGCAAGATACAGCACAGGTAGAGGTGGGCTTCCCACCCTTTAAACTCTGCTATTTTGTCCTGCAGGCTGCTGTGAAAAGGAAAGTGGTCACAGGTTTTTTTGCATTGACTTAAAAATAGTATTAATGGTATAAAGGTAGTCTGTAGGAGAGCAAGGTGTAAGAGATCCACCTATAATTAATATACTGTGCTCAAGTTGATTATAACCAATAGCAATTGATTTTGTCCAAGTCAGTGTCTGCTTCACATCATATACTCTCTGTGTACGTACTATGGGCCGTAGAGTGCGCTGTAGACTATATACATGCATACACAGCCCCCTGCCATATGCTCAGTAAAGAGCCAAAGCCTAGGGCGCCCAAAAAAGCCTAGGGCGCCCAAAAAAGCCTCTCCAGCTTCTGTCTTCATTTCTTCTAAGCAACCTTTCCAGAGCCTAGAACCTTTCCGCAGCCTAGAACCTTTCCGCAGCCTAGAACCTTTCCGCAGCCTAGAACCTTTCCACAGCCTAGAACGCCCCCAGCCTGAGGTGCCAGAGTCACAAGCCTCTCCAGCTCCTGTCTTCATTTCTTCTAAGCAATCTGCTCAGCCTAGAACCGGCCCCCCAGAGCCTAGAACCGGCCCCCCAGAGCCTAGAACATGACACAAGCCTCCCCAGCTTCTCTACCACATATCTGCTTTTCTTTCATTTTTTTTTGGTTTAGGAATAAAGAAAAAAAAATCACTGCTCATTAGAAGCAGAGGGGAAGCCAGGCTGTGTCAATGAAAAAAGTGACCAGCGCCCATCCCTTGCAGGGTTAATGCAAGTTTAAGACAGGTTCCTCACTTAAGCGTAGTTTCCTTTAGGACGCACTTGTCGGGAGCTCCTTTAACACAAGTTAAACAAGACAGCAAGAGATGCGACTTAACACCCACTGAACGCTCTACCTGGGCCTTTCCCCAGCCCAAAGCTCACCAAGCCCAGACCACCCACAGGCTGCCCAAATCATCGCCTCCAGGCAGAGGGCTGAAAAAAAAAAAAAAATCTAAACATTAACATGAACCAGAATGACAACAGAAGGAACAACAGCATCTTCCAGTAGGAAGAAATGCTCACTTAATCCTTAAGGAAGGAGAGCACAGCAGTGCAGAAACCTGGCTGTGCCTGCTGGGCTCACAAGGCGGCGATGCTGAAATTGGCAGCAGACCATATCTGAGTGGCCATAAAAATAACTGAGACGGTCTAGGGCTTCCAAAACCATCAACTTCAAGCACATTGTAAGAACTAAACACGGGTAAAATGAAATCTGGAGAAGAAAACTATCACGTGCTATTTCTCAGGAGCACAGAGTAGAAAAAAGTCACATCCAGCAAGTGCCAACGCCTGATGAGGACACTCTGCCCAAGACGGGCACAAAACTTGAGAGCTGACACTAGGAGCTCAAGCAGAAGAAAAGATAAAAATCTCCGTGGAGAAGCATTAGTGAGCCAGCCATTAGCTTTTGCTGCCAGGCTGTTTCAAACTGCTTCACTGAAGGGGATGCACATAAAAAAGAGCTTCCAGTAGATTCCTCTGCTGGAAACAGCCCAGTAACATTTTATAATCTAGAATAAACTTATCGATCAAAAACCCGTAGAAATGTAGAAGACCAGGACTGTTTGAAAGCATTGCCATTAATATAAGTAGCACAAGAGACCTCTTGGACCGAGGAACCTCAAAAGATATGCAAGATGAGGTGACGCTGGCCTGCTGAGGATTAAGAGATACTCTCTCACTTAACCCATTGCCATCGAGCATCTTCCAAAGAAAAGGAAGAACGCGGTAGAATACAGCACAGAAGGACAGAGGGGGTTACTGTACCCATTTATTCATGTGGCCCTGTAAAATCCTGTCCTAAAGTGTCTTTATCTTTGTAGACCACAAGAGATGCAAAGAAACCCTCAGGTCTAAAAACATTATTTTCTTCTCACCACTAAGATCAGCCCAGACCGACAACTTGATTTTGTCGCACCCCATTCTGGATGACTAAAGGGCCAGAAATCTTATTGCAGAGATAACGGTCAGGATTTTGCAAAGCTCCTGGGAAGAAAAAGGCTGGAAGATGCTGCAACTTAAAATACTGCTTGTAAGAGTAGGTGAAAAAAAAAAAAAAAACACCACCTTTTTGTGACAGAAGGATACATCCTAATTACAGTTTAGCCTTTTGAGGAAAGTAATTAAATAAAGAGTTGGATGTAATAAACAACTTTTGTTCTCAGAACATGTAATCAATTTTAGAAAAGTAAGCAAGGACGAGTCCAGAAGTTACCTGATTTTTCCTCCGAAACATCTGGCAACGGCTGCTGCTGTGGGAAGGATAAAGGGCCCAGGAGTCTGGTCCAGCAGGGTGGGACATATCCTCACATTCCCATTTTGGTACTTCTACGTCTCCTTGGTAGGATAACACTGTGAGGAAAAACAAAAATACATATATATATTCATTTATTGAAGAATCAGGTCTTTACACGGTACTTATAAAAAAACCAGTTTTCCAAAAGGATTGGGATAATGCACTTCAGCAATCTTTTGACCGCATTTCCAGCAGCAGATCTCAAAGCCATTCCCCGATCCCAGTCACTGGAAACCTCTTTAGCCAGAAAACTGCATAGAATCATTTCGGTTTAAGGCCATTTCCCAGAGCTTTCCCCCTTCCTCTCGCTGCAGGAAACCTGCCCCTGCAGATCAACCCATCGGGAGGCCCCCGCCAGGGGCCAACGCTGCCTGTGCCACCGGAGGTGCAGGACGTGAGGCACCCCCAACGCCAGCATTTAACGACAGACTACTTTCTGCTATCAAGAAGCTCATGGTGCCTTGCAAAGAAACAAAATTATCCAAGTTAGGGAAACCAGAGGTGATGTATTTTCATTCTGATGCAAGGAGATCTTAAAAACTTGGGGGGGGGGTGTGGAAATCAGTGATGTCTTTCATGAAATTTATAACTGAATTAAAAGGGAGAACTGCTCTGGTACGGGTCCGTGTCAGCTCCTGTCACTGGGGCTGTTTGTTAGAATACAGAATATTTAGTGAAACGGCAGTTTCAGCCTCCTTGTGGCATTGCAAGTTTTACAGCAGTGGTTTGTGTCCAAAAAAAAAAAAAAAAAAGCAGTAAACTGATTTCAGGTCAGAGGCAGTCATTACGAGCGCAAGGTTAGGTGGTAAAAGGCTTGGGGTTTTACATGAAAAATATCCTTACCCACAAATGGAAGGTAATAACAATGCCAAATGCAAGAACTAGGAAGCAGGGTTTTGCCTAAGTAATAAAAATAGTAAGAATAAGAAGAAAATTAATACATACTGGGAAAAATACAGTTCAATCTAAAATAGAATTTTCATTAAATTCTCCGTTTCAATTCTTTTTAAGGTTTGGGGCTAAATTCAGCAAAGAGCCAGTAAGGAGAGTCTTTTCTCCTGTTTAAAGCCATTAAATACAGTTTCATGAATTCCACAGAAATCTCTGGATTTTGCTTTCAGATGAAAAGATAAAAGGAAAAAATAAATAAATTCAGGAAGAGCAAAAGCACGAAGGCTGTGGTGGAGAGGGACAGACGGCGGATGCCACCCTCACGCAAGACACAGGCATCGCCTTGCCATTGAGCTGGACTTCACTGGGTGGGATGCTTCCTACATTTTTAATATATTCAAATTGGGCTTTTCATCAATTCCTCCTACTATGCTTGTTTGGAGCACGGAACAAGGCTTCGACTTTGCTTCACGAACAACAGTAACGCCAGGTTTCAAAAAACGCAAACGGAACGTCCTTTGCCTTCCCTGCCTGCTTTGACACAAGGAACAGCACAAGAGGGCGAAGCCAAGTCCCAGCTCTCGAGGAGTAAAGCAGCCCTGCCCTTCCCTCCTAATGGACTGCATGGAAAAACCCCACGGCCTACAGCGTTCCTACATAGGAACAAAACAGAATTTATGGAATCACAGAATGGTTTGGGTTGGCAAAGCCCTTGAAGCTCCCCCAGCCCAACCCTTCCCCTACCCCTGCCATCCCACCCCCAAACCCTGGCCCTCAGCACCGCCTCTGCCCGGCTGTTAAATCCCCCCAGGGCTGGGGACTCGACCCCTTCCCTGGGCAGCCCCTTCCAGTGCCTGACAGCCCCAAGGGGAAGGAATTGTTCCTCATGGCCAACCTCACCCTGCCCTGGCACAACTTGAGGCCATTTCTTCTTGTCCTAGAGGTGATCATGCCCCTGTACTCCTGTCCTGGTTTCGGCTGGGATAGAGTTAATTTTCTTCATAGCACCTAGCACAGTGCTGTGCTTTGGATTTAGTACTACAGAATGTTGATAACACACTGATGTTTTTAGTTGTTGCCAAGTAGTGCTCAGACTACTCAAGGACTTTTTGAGCTTCTCCTGCTCGGGCAGGGGCAGAACAAGCTGGGAGTACAGCACAGCCAGGAGAGCTGACCCAAACTGACCAAAGAGCTATTCCAGACCATAAAAATATGGTTAGATGCCACGAAGTAGGTGGCAATGCCTTAACCGTATGCGTGTTGCACAGGCCACGAGGGCCTCTTCCATCCTTATCAGGGGAGTGCTAACCTTCTCTCCTTTCATACAACACCTAGAATTTGTAGGGCCCCATCAAGCAAAGGCAACACGCGCAGTCTAATCTCCGACTTCTTGCAATGGGTTTCCTGCTAAACACCAAGGCAAACCACCTTTTTTTTGTTTGTTTGTTTCCCTAGCACGTTAAATGTACAAGCTCAAAGGGCTCTGGTGACCCCAGATGTCGAGAGACCTTTGGGGTCTGTCACCAGTTGGCACAGAGGCCACGCTGCTCCAACTCGCCCTGTCAAGGCGGTGGCCAGCATCCAGGACAGAGAGTGGAGCAACACATCCCCAAGTTCTAAAGGGGATTAGTTCCATAACGAACATTAAGGCTACTGAATATCAAATTTTAATACTAGTTCTGTGGATAACCATACTTACTCCTAATCCTTCATCGCCAAAGCCCAGAGTAAGCCATGAGAAGACGCGCTGTTTGCCAGGCTCACCCATCAGCAGGCAGGTGGTAGATCTGCATACAAATTCTGACAGATTCTGTAAAAACAGGGGGGTTTGGAATGAACGTCACCGAGCATTTTGCAAGCGTGAAGTTTATTACGGGCCCTGTAATCTTCTGGGATATTGTATTTTCCTCTGGCTAGAGAAAGTCCTAGTACACAAAACAATTTGTCCCTAGGAACATTAATTGTTTAACATCAGATTTTAATGAGCTTTCAGCATCAAAAAGAGAAAAATTCTGCCCCTAGCAGAAATAACTTTCTATTTACAGGAAACACACGTTGCCAGAAGAGAGCTCTGAAGACTGAAATCATATTTTTCTGAGGCCAGTAATTTCCTGAACTCTCTGAACACAGTGCACAGGGGGATTTTTGGTGCTGTCTGCCATTATGTTTTTGTGGTTGGCCAAAGCACCCCCAGCCACTACCCAAACGCAGAGACTCCCCATGCCAAGGCACCAGCCCTTCTCCCTGCACGAGGCGCAGGCTGCCAGGCAGCGGCACAGGCTCCAGCACCGCAATTGGATCACAATTATTTTGTTGCATGCGCACCTAATCTTTTTTGTTTGGTTGGTTTTTTTTAAAGTATTCCAAATAATCTAAAATCTGAATTAATTCCTGCGCTTCATCTGAAAGTCCTAGATACGGCTGCAGTGCTGCAAGCACAGACGATATCATCAAACTTGAGCCACGTGGCGGGTTAGTGAAATCCTCTTACTTGGAGGAAAACCAAGCGATACAGAGCAACATCACTTTGACTTGAGGTATCGAGGTACTAAAATACCAGCTTTCCACCTAAACGCACTGGAAAATCTAAGGTAATACGGAAATTACTGTTGCCCATTAGGGTCTACAGTACCTAAGTGTCTCACTAAATAGATAGGCTATGCAGAGATAGAAAAACATGATTTAATCTGCGGTTTAAGTAGAACAGATGAAAAGAGCAGCCTGGTAGCGCACGACAGTGATTCTCCGTGTTTAAACCCGATGTTCCTATTTCACATTTTCCTCCTCCCAAATGCCTACTGTGTTTTATTTACCTTTTAAAAATTAAAGTGAAAGTTTCACTAATGGGAAACCACTTCCCCCCCCCCCGCCACTTCATGGTGTTGGTTTTGTATTTCCCTGTTCTACTTCAGAAAGCCACGTCCCGGAGTTCACAGACGCACGCTCCCAGCTCGTCATATGCTTCAACATGCAGAACCAGCTCTTCCCTGGAGCTGGGAAAAACTTTTCAGGTGAAGAACTTTCATTTGGCAAAAGTCATTTGGGGCAGGCAAGCCTGCTTAAAAATTCAAATTAGATTTTCAAATAGTTTTTAGCTAAAGAATTCGAGAACATTTCCTGAAAGACAGAAATTTCAGTGCTTGTTCTCAAAGAGACTGGAAATGAATTCTGGATAAAAGTTAGGCGAGGGAAGAAAAGATCTCTTTTAAGACAAAACATTTTTTTGAAAATTACCATTCCAGGGGATGAAATTGAGTTGCATTTGATCTGAAACTAATGAGGTCTGCTCAATTATTTGGCCGTCCCAAACAAAACCAACAGCCTATTCGCCAAGGTCTGGCTTTGCACGGTCTTCACTGAACAGCCACGTTATCGCGGCAAGGTGAGGACAAAAAAAGATGTCAAAAATCTGGCAGATGCTCATCATCCCAGAAATTCACCTTAAGGGCACATCAACCACTGCAAGCCTGGAAGAACTTAGCGAGCCGTTCCCCCTCAGCAGCAGCCACCTCCACACACAACGCTACGGCTTTGGTTTGTATTGGCGCCTTCAAAACACTCCAAAGACCAAAACAAAACCACATTACGTGTTCATGCTACCCTCAGGTAGACAGAGCACAGCACCGGCACACCATCTGAAGTTATGCATTATTTTTAGATGATTCCTGCACAGCTCAAAACCAGGAATATTGCCAAAAAAATCTGCTCGAGTCTTTCAGCCATATTCCACGTTTCAGGAGTTTCAGTTGGGACTTCCCAAAGCCCTGCTGTTCATGATCCTGAAGGCCTCGCAAAGCAGTGAAGGAGCTTTTGCCACGCTCCAAACTTAGGGCTTGCTTCGTTTGGAGAAGTAACTCACCCTCATGATCCTGAAGGCCTCGCAGTGAAGGAGCTTTTGCCACGCTCCAAATTTAGGGCTTGCTTCGTTTGGAGAAGTAACTCACCCGTTGAGCTAAGAGACATTACAGCAATCCTTCCCCGTCTGCAAGCCAGCTTCTCTTTTGTTGTACTTCAAATTCTTGAAACAATTAGATCAAAATAAGGCAGTTTATAAAATAAAGGAACTTGATTATCAAATACGTTGGATATTTGAAAGCAACGATCTACCAGTCTGTAATCTTCAGTGATTTCAGCAGCGCTTTATCACACTGCTTATGGCTAAGGTAAATCGTAGCCTCCACCCTCACACTCCCATGCTTGCTCCTCTTTTCCTTTCCCTGCAGCCATCACATCACGACAAGGCTTTCTGCACTTCCATTTCCAAAGCTTTTTAACCAGGAGTGGCAGCCCTTATCTGCCCTTTTTATTCCGAGTCACTTTCCCCCTTTGCAAGTTTTCTTGTCAGGAATCTCCACATCCGTTGTGGATACAGATGACTCGCAATTCCAGGAAAACCCATGCATTTTTAATCACAAGAGATACGAGCTGACTAATGGACACGATTGCTTCAGTTCCTCTGCATCCTTAATAGATTAGCAGGATTTTGTGTGATACCAGAACTAAGCAAAAACCCTGGACAAGTAACACAAGCTGGTAACACATGTGAAAAGCTGGAAATTAAAGAAAAAGGCAGGAGAACACGCTCTGAAATTCTACATGTGTAACTTAACCCAGCCAAGAAAATGCAGCCCCCTGGATGGAAGGAAGCCATACGGGGTATTTCAGCCTGCGAAGGCGGTTGGCACCGCAGAGGGGGTTTCAGGCACAAGAAGATCGCTGCCAGCTCGCAATCCCTTTTACCTCCTCGCAGCCCAAGCACAGGCGAGAAGATAAAACCTAGGAGACAGGCTGCACGGAGCACGCGGGTGGTTTCTTACCAAATACAAGGTAGGAAAGACCACGCTCTTGGTCACTCTGGTAACGTGTTGATTTACAGGTAGAACGTGAAGCGTTAATTATCTCGACTTTGGTTTCCTTCTTTGCTGACACAGGCTCAAAGGCCGAGACATGAGCTGCGGGGTCCCTTCGCCCTGTGCCCGCCAGACTCCCCACCCATGACCACAGCCATCAAGACCCAGTGACAGAAAGGTCATCATTCCCATGGGAATGGGAAAAAAAAAAAAAAAAAAAAAAAAAAACTCTTTCCTCTGCTTAAATTAAAATCAAGATGGTTGGAACCCATGAGGTACTTCTAAATACGGACACTCAGAATGAGAACAAGTGAGAAGCTGACCTTTGGGATCATATGGGATCTTCAGATCCACAAATCTCCCAGCAGTGCTTTAGCAGCAGTACCTTGCTGGTACTTCCAGAACGCAGAGTTCTCAAACAATGCCCCAAAACCAGCAGTGATGGGGATCCACATCTCCTTTGCTTGTTGGGAGCCTTTCACAGGCAGGAGAGAGGTAATCTGAAGGAGGAGGTGTGACCTGTTCATGTACTCCAAAGGCACTTGATAAAGTTCCTACCTAGCAAGAGGCTGTAGAGGAAACATGGTTACCACCGGGTGAACGATAAAGTCTTGCCATGGATTAAAACAAGTTAAGAGATAGGGAAGAAAATAGAAATGAATGGCCAATTCTCGGCATGGAGAAAGGTTAATAGTGTAGTGCCCTAGGGATCAGTCTTCAGGCTGGTGTTTTTCAATATATTCATTAACAGCCTGCAAGAGGTGATGAATAGCAAGGCAGCAAGAGTGCCTGACAAAGTTGGTTGTTCCTTCCCAGCCCCCGACTGACCTAAACCACCAGCGCACTGAGCAGCCCAGGCTCTGCTCCCCGAACGCGGCAGTGGGGAAACAGCATGGGGACATCGGAGCGCCTGCTATTGCCAGGTAGTTATAAGCATGCAAGAAAAGTGGCCAACAGTCCTGTAAGAACTCACCTAATGCTGTATCTGACATAATGCCCCATCTCTGCTAAGGTCCAGGAATAATCAAAATGGACATTGTAAAGAAAAAACTCTAGAGGCACAACGCATTACACAAAACACCTCCCTCCCCAGCCTATTGCCACTAAGATTTTTTTAATAAGATGACAAAGCTGGCAGAAACAAAACTATTTTGAAACATCACAAAATCCTTAGAATAGTCCATCATCCCTTCCACGTCTCTCTGACCTTCTGGCCTGCTTGGTGCTCTCTGGTCCCCACCAGCGTATCCAAGGGCTGTCCTTGGAAATCACCTACGTTTCCAGGATTTAGAGCTCATGGCATTTTCTCCTCTATCTGCATTAGTGGCATCACTCATTAAACAAAGGCAGAACACTATTCATAGCACAGAAAGTGCAAGGAATGACAAAATATTTGTATCTAACCTGAGATTCATTGCTGCTCACCAAGCCTGAGTTCTAGGGAAGAAGCCACCTCCCAGGTGGGAACAAACAGTAGGAAGAAAAATATCCCAAGAAACTAGTGGGAAGTACGTACAGGAATGGGTATTCAGCCAGGGAGGTAATTTGCAGCAAGAGCCTCTTAGGTGTTGGGGGCAGAGCAGGTCAGCTCATCCTCAATAAATTTTCATTCCGAAGAAAGAAACAGTGCAAAAAAGGCACCCACACACATGGCCAGGCCAATGAACTATTGCTATGGATACCCACGGGGCGACTGAGCTCTTCAAAACACTTGCATGCTCGCCTTCAAAATATTATCAGAGTGCCTCAGTGCACAGGGGAGGGAGAAAGCTTGATCATCGGGGATAAGGACGAGCATGCCATGGATTTTGTTAGGAAGAAGGCGCCTAAAGAAAGGAGTCAGACACCCAAACACATGGCTGCCTGAGCCTTGCCTTGGACTGAGAGCCCAGCCCCCCGGACAACAAGCAATCTCAAGCCGAGATCCCCAAAGTGACAAATAAGGATGCCCCAAGGATGC